TTTGTCTGTTTCTTTTTCTGCATTTATTGAGATGAGCATGTGGTTTTTATCTGTTACTCTATTGATATGGTATATTACAGTAATTGGTTTTCAGATTTTAAGCCAACCTTGCATTTTTGGAATCAATCCCACTTAGTCATGGTATATAATCCTTTTTATATGTTCCTGGACTGCATTTGTTAATATTTTGTTGAGGGTTTTTCTGTCTATAGTCAATATTTACTGATTTTTTTAAAAATAAATTTTAATTGAAAAAATTAAACATAGAAAAATGTTCTAGAAAACAATGTAATGAACATGTCTTTCCCGTTATTAGTGCCTAAAGAAATAGATGTTACTTTTCGTCTTATTTTTGTCAGAGTAAGTCCCCTGCATGCTGTCTTTCCTACTGTAATAATTGCAAATAAAAACTAGTACTAAATGAAAAGGTATGTCGAAGCCAGTGGGTTGGTTGGAAAGGGGAATCGCACCTGAAGTGACTTACACAGGTGAGTTTCTCAATTCCTAAGCCTATGCATGGCCTTGCCTGTAGGCGGCCCTCAGTTGCAGGGCTGTACTGGGGGTTCTTGCATAGGCAGTAAAAACTCAGGAAATCCTCATCTTTCTGCCTGGGGTTCCAAAATAGAGCTACACAAATGTAGTCAATTAATGTTTGACCCAAGTGCAAAGGCAATTAATTGAGTGAAGAAAGGAGAGTCTAAAGCGTGGCGTGAGGATGATTGGACATCTGGATGCAAAAAAAAGAAACTCCACTCTACTTTGCACATTATGTAAAAATTAATGTAGATCATGGGTCTAAAAGTAGCACCTAAAACCTAAAAACTTGTGGAGGAAAACAGAAAATCTTTCTGATCTTGGGTTAGGCAAAGAGTTGTGAGACACAATAATAAAAGGGTGATCCATAAAAGAATTTTTTTTGTTTTTGAGACAGATTCTTGCCCTGTCTTCCAAGCTGGTTGCACAATCTCGGCTCACCGCAACCCCCACCTCTCAGGATGAAGTAATTCTCCTGCCTCAGCCTCCTGAATAGCTGAGATTACACGCACCCACTACCACACCTGGCTATTTTTTGCATTTTTCGTAGAGATTGGGTTTTGCCATGTTGGCCAGGCTGGTCTTGAACTCCTGACGTCAGGCAGTCCACCTGCCTCAACCTCCCAAAGTGCCAGGATTATAGGCATGAGTCACCATACCCGGCCAAATTATTTTTTTAAGCTGTGCCGAACTGAGTAGCAGAGGAGATGAGCAAGTGCAGGTCTCATGCACTGCTGGTGAGAATGCAGACAGTGCAGCTGCCTCAGCAAATCGTCTGGTAGTTTCTCATGAAGTTAAGTATGTCCTTACAATACGACCTGGCAAAACCACTCCAAGACATTTACCCAAAAGTCATGAAAACATGTTTATACAAGTGCTTGTATGCAAATCTTTATGTATAGTGGCTTTATTAATAATTGTGCAAAACGAAACAATACTAGTTTTTCAGCTGGTGAGTAGATGCACAAAATGAGGTATGTCCATCCATAGCAACCAAAGAAGTGTGTTACTGATACTTCCAGCAACACGAGTGAGTCTCAAAAGAAGTTAGACTCACCGTCTCTGTAGGGTGCGATTCTGTTTATACATTCTAAAAAAGGCAAAATTGACCAGGCACACTGGCTCCCACCTGTAATCCCAGCATTTTGGGAGGCCGAGGCAGGTGGATCACCCTAGGTCAGGAGTTCAAGACCAGCCTGGGCAACATGGTGAAACCCCATCTCTACTAAAAGTATAAAAATTCGCTAGGCGTGGTGGCAGGTGCCTGTAATCCCAGCTACACGGGAGGCTTGGGAGACTCCCCTGTACCTGGGAAGTAGAAGTTGCAGTAAGCCGAGATAATGCCACTGCACTCCAGCCTGGGTGACAGAGCGAGACTCTCAAATAAATAAGGCAAAATTACAGTAACAGAAAACAGATCACCAGTTGCTGGGCGTTGGGGAAGCTTGAACACAAAGACGCTGCTTGGGGATAGAGCAGTTTGTATCTGGATTGCAGCTGGCTGTGGTTGCGTGCCTGTTGCCTTCTAGGTGAGAAGTAACTTGGACACAGCGAAAGCCCCTTCCTGCCTCCTCCCAGCCCCTCCCTGCCTGGGTCACTGCAGTGCTGTCTGCAAGTTAGTGAACAGTGTTCTTACTTATGGTTTTGATTTCTTACTGTGTTAATTAAGAATATAGATGGTTTTATGTGTTCATTGTTGACATAAATGGTATAATAGTGTTTTTGAAACTTGGTTTTTTTGGTCTTAACATTGTGTCTTATAGTTTTATACTTATAGATCTGTTTTAACTTTCTGATAGTTTACTTCATGGTTTAATGATTCGTCCCTTACTAGTCAGAACGTTTCTTAGTTAAAACACACCAGCTAGATGTGGTGGCTCTCAATCCCAGCACTTTGGGAGGTTGAGGCAAGCAGATTGCTTGATCTTAGGAGTTCAAGACCATTCTGGGCAACATGATGAAACCTCTGACTCTACGAAAAATACAAAAAATTAGCCAGGTGTGGTGCACACCTGTAGTCCCAGCTACACAGGATGCTGAGGTGGGAGGATCACTTGAGCCTGGGAGGTTGAGGCTGCAGTGAGCCGTGATTGCACCACTGCCTTCCAGCCTAGGCAATAGTATGAGACCCTGTCTCAAAAAGAAACAAAGAAAAGCCACGTGTTGGCACAGTAAAGACCCTACGCAGTCTCTCCCGGCAGTCACAGAGACCGCCTAGAATGGACCCTTAGAGGGTGTGCGTGCTGCCCTTAATTAACCATTGCTAAATTGTTGCTGAAGCACGTGGTGTCCGTTTACGTTCCTGCCTCAGCTTCCGTTTTCCCCACATCTTTGCTGCCCCGTCATCTCACCCCCCACCATCCATTCCTGCCTCGGTTTCTGTTTTCCCTAGGTCCCTGCCCTCCCGGTCATATCACTCCTGGGCTCTGGCTGGCCTCTGGCCTCTCACCGTGTCATTTGCATCTCCTGCTGGGGAAGTCAAATGCCCTGTATGTTTGTTTTTCCCGGCTGGAAGCTGCAGTGAGCCTCCCTCGTCCATCCTCTGGGGTGGGCTTTCCTTGTTTTTGTGTGTCTTGTCTTGGTGTGAGCAGCACGACATCCCTCTTCCCGCGGACCCTTGGCTGGCCATGCCTCTCAGTCCTCTGACGCCCTTGACAGAGTAAGCAGGAACCCCTTCAGAGTAAAACCCGCCCTGCCTTGTCACTTTGTGGGCGCTGAAGGCCTCTCTCTGCACCCTTCCCGAGGAGGTTGTCTCCCCTGGAATGGTGGAGAGCCTGGCCTGGCCTGTCCCTAGCTGCTCCTCTCCTCCTTCCCGGGTGCCACTCCTTCAGACCACCCCTAGATTTCCAGGTAGCACAGAAATTACTTCTGCTTCTAACACTGCTCAATCAGAGGCACCTCTGGAGGCTGTATCTCTAGCCCAGTCTCCTTCCACACCCGCAGCTCCCCTGCCCTGAGAGCCTCTGGTGCTTCTGTTGTATCCCAGAAACAAGCCCGAAGCAAGCATCCACTGTCCCTCAGGGATGTACTCTGCCCCGCCTTTCTCACCACAGTGCTGTCAGGGCCTGGTGGTCTCCCCCTTCCCCACTCCACATAAGAGCAGCCCCGATACTCTTAGGAGCTGCTTTCCCACATGCCCTGTGTCTCCTGGGGATACCAGGCCTCCGTCACCCCTCACCTGGGTCATAGAAGCCCCTCTGACTGGCGTCCTTGCCAGACTTCTGCCCCCTTCCCTGTTCCAGGGGCGCCTGGCCGCAGGTGGGGCTTAGACAACATGGACCCCTCTGGCGACGTCCTGTGTCTGGGGAACTCATCTCAGTGCCCAGACTCTACCTCGGGTGCAGGGTGCAATCCACAGTGCCCAGTTGGCACGAGGCTGCCCAGCACCGTGCAGCCACACCTCAGCTCTGTCCCCATGAGGCACCAGGGTCTCTTCTGTTCCTAGCATCCTCCACCAGGCATCTTGTTCATCTTCCCAACACATCTCTGATATTAAAAATGCCCGGGAGCTCTGTGCTGAACACGGCTGTGGCATGTGCTGGGTGTGTGCCCAGCCCAGGCTCCCACAGGCGGACTGGAATGCCTGCCCTGGTGCTAACTGGCTGCGTGTGAAGGGCCTTGGTTTCCCCAGAGGTCACCAAGGGAGAGCGAGGCCCCTGTAGGAAACAACCCCAGCATGCGTGCACGGCGCCGAGGGCCCCACAGGGTCCTCTTCCATGTTTAGGTTGGCCGTGGGTGGGCGATCTCTATGCCTTTCCTTCTGTCTTCTGTTCCCTGAGGAGAAACTGAGGCCTGGTTCACCCAGATCAGCATTCACCAGTAACAGGGCCGGGCGTGGCGTCTGTTGGCCTCTCAGCCTGGAAGCTGGAAATTTGAGGGACACCTGGGAGAGGACAGAGCAGCGTGGACCCTTCAACTGCGTCCAAGCCCTCCATACCAGCCCTGCCCAGCACCAGGGCTGAGGCTAGATGGCCGACCCCAAGAGTGCCCCACAGGCACGCTCAGACCTGCCTTTCCTCCCAGGCTCCTGTGACTGCTGGGCAGCAGCCCCACCATGTCCCAGCCCCGGGCCCCAGAGCAGGTGCTGGACACACTGGGGGACTGCCCCCCTGGCAGGAGGGACGAGGACGCCAGGGAAGAGATCCAGTGCTCCCAACGCATGCTCAGCTTCAGCGACGCCCTGCTGTCCATCATCGCCACTGTCATGGTCTGTATCTGGCCGCTGTGCAGGCCTGTCCCACCCCAAGCCCCTTGAGGCACTGCCCAGCCGGCCTCAGACCTATCCCAGGTCTTGCCAGCATCCTTGGGTCCGCCATCCCCTCAGGCAGCTTAGGGGGTGCCCAGCACAGCCTTCAAGTCCCCAGTCCCAGCACACCCAGCTCAAGTGTCTCGCTTCCTTCTGTCTCCTTGTTCTTCAGATCCTGCCTGTGACGCACACGGAGATCTCCCCAGAACAGGTAACGGGGCAGGCTGTGCTCTGTGTGTGTGGCTCTGAGAAGACACAGGGTTCCTGACGCCTGACCTGGCACAGGCAGCTGACCCTGCACCCTTCGAAGCTTCTGAGGCTAAGAAGGCAGAGGCGGGAGGCAGGGGCCTCCTTGGAAAGGGAGGGGTTCAGCAAGGCGTGCTCAGCCTGTGCCCACCCCGGTGGAGTTCCTGGCCTCCGGGGAGGGGGCAGCCCACTGAGCCTGTGCCCATCCCGGCAAAGGTCCTGGCCTCCTGGGAGGGCAGGGGACTGGGCTCCTAAGGCTCTTTGTCAGAGCTCAGCAGACAAAGGCAGTGCCCTGGTGGTGAGCCAGAGGACAAGTTGGAAGAGGAAGGTTCCAGTCCTGCCCCAAGGACAGAAGTTTCCTTTGTGGGAGGGCAGCTGCCCCAGCAGGTCCCTTACATAGCTGTTCTGCGTAAACAGCAGGGACACGCCCACCCTGGCTGCTCCTACAGGCCTGAAGGTGGGGGCAAAGGGATTACAGGCAGTTTCCGCTTACAGCCACCTTGACTGTTTCTGAGCTAAAGAGCAACACTCTCAGAAGGGGAGCGACTGGAAGGCGTCTGAGGTGCACATCTGCCTGGCTCGGTGTCCTCGTGACTGGGTCGTGAGGCTCAGCAGTGAAGGTGTAGCCCTTCCTGGGCCGGTGCTGAGGCCGGGGCTCCAGTCCTAACCCGTGAGCTGAGCCTGGGGGACACTGGGAAGTCTTGGGAGCTGCTTAGAGTTCAGCTTTCTCAGCTGTGCAAAGAGGGTGATGAGACTTCATGGAGTTTTCATGAGAAGTAGAAACCAGGTAGAGCCTGGCCCAGTTTGCAGGGAGACCCTGGGCAGCAGCAGGTGGCAGGCGGCACAGGCGCTGGGACCCCAGGGCCGCCCCTGCCCTCCCCAGGGAAAACTGCGTTCCCACCAAGGCCCACAGGGTAAGCTTGGCCAAATGCGGTCGTGAGGTGCTGGCCAGGGATGCAACATACTGACCTTGCCTGCCCCTTTCAGAATGGGGTTGCTGAGACATGGCCACGTCCACCTGAGATGCCCAGGGCAGAGGTCGCATGAAAATGAAGGGCGTGGCTGGTTGAAAATAAGAAAACCCTGCAAGCCTAAAGCTGCTCTGACTTCTCTGCTGTCAGGGCACCTTTCAGGGACTGTGGTGTTTAGTGCCCTCTCTTTCCTCTGTTGTCCTAACCGGGTCGCAGGGAGGGTCTGAGCCTCAGTCCTGGAGAGTCAGAAGCTCTTTCAGAGAACACATTTGTGGAAAGAGGGAACGGTCCGACGTGTGTCCCAGGGACTGGCTAGAGCAGCGGACACCTCCTTGTGAGGAGAGGGGGGCTCCTGGGCTATGCTCACTCTGTAAATAAAAGACAGTCATAACTTTGAAAACCCATGATTTGAAAAGCTAGTTATTGACCCGGAGACCTGCCTGCAAGTAGAGAACCCAGGAAAACAGTAAAGTGGTCAGTTTTCTGTTTGGAGCATTCCTGGAGAGCATGAAAATCCTTCTCAGGGCTGGAGGGGCGAGGGCCTTGGTTGAGTGCAGCGCTGTCCCCAGTTCCTCCTGCTGACCACAGACCCTAGGGCAGGCCGAGGTCCCTCGCAGTTTCCACAGAGGCCCTTACCCACGGCTGCTTCAGAATTGCCTACTCAGGCAGTGCCAAGTCCGAACCTGCTACGGTATGAGCCTGTGTGCCCCTCCAGAGTTCACACACCGACGTCCCACAGTGACGGCGTTGTGAGGTGGAGCCTTTCGGAGGTGACCTGGTGCTTTTGCCTTTTTCTCCCTTCCCACATGAGGACACCCAGAGGGCACCATCCCTGAGGCGGGCTCCTCACAGACATTCAGCTCCTTAAGAGCTGATTGCTCAGCAGGAACAAAAGCAGCAGGAACAACCCACAGAAGACTCCAGAACGCTCCTGTGGGCATGGGCATGGCTCAGTGCCCTGGAGAAGGGGTGGGGGCTGGAGGGGTGGGACCTGAAGGCGCCAGGGTGGACGTGGAGGCTAGACCTTCCCAGGCGCCTCACGGGGCCCACCTGAGGGCCTCGCCCCGTCCTGGGCGGAGGACAGCCCCCGCATGGTGCTGTCTCACTGCCATTCAGGGACACTCGTGTCACTGGGCTCTGACAGCGGTGCTCTTGTACTCTAGCAGTTCGACAGAAGTGTACAGAGGCTTCTGGCAACACGGATCGCCGTCTACCTGATGACCTTTCTCATCGTAACAGTGGCCTGGGCGGCACACACAAGGTGGGGGCCACGGCCGCTCTCAGGGTTCCTGTGCCCCGCACTGCGTCACACACGGGTCCCCAGGGTGGGGGACAGCAGGCGGCTCTTCCCACCCTCATCCCTGTGGGGAAAGCAGGACTTAACAGGCCCTGGGGCCTGGGACGGTGTAGACGGTGCCATAGGCGGAGGTGCTCCCTCCAAGGTGAGACTCCTCTCACGGTTGCTCAGCACTGCCACTGCCTCTCAGCCACGCAGACCGTCCTCCTGCCTGTGAGAGCTGCCTTGAGACCAGGCTGCAGCCAGGCAGGAGACAGCACATGTGCTGCGCCCCATTAACACCGTTGGACGGCACACAGCCTCGTCCTCCCGGGTCTGTGTCCTGGGGCCTCACCGCACTGCCGTCTCCCCAGCAAGGAAGCTATGTCTGCAGGACACACGCTCCAGGGCTGGAGCTTCACCTTGGAGAGAACAAGGTTCTTTAAGATCCAAGGAGAGGCTGGGCGCAGTGGCTCATGCCTGTAATCCCAGCACTTCGGGAGGCTGAGGTGGGCAGATCACCTGAGGTCAGGAGTTTGAGACCAGCCTGGCCAACATGGTGAAACCCCATCTCTACTAAAAATATAAAAATTAGCTGGGCATGGTGGCGGGTGCCTGTAATCCAGCTACTTGGGAGACTGAGGCAGGAGAATGGCTTGAACCTGGGAGGTGGAGGCCTGGGCAACAGCGTGAGACTCCAAAAAAATGAAAGATCCAAGGGCCCAGCACTGCAATGGCCACTGACCACCTGCCCCAGGCAGAGGGACAGGAGGACACCAGGGGTGGAGCTAGGGCTGCAGGGCAGTGGGCACTGGGAAGGCTCCATACCTGCCTTGGGCTGCAGGGTGGCGGTGGCCAGGGAGGCATCAGAGCCTGCCTTGAAAGCATGGCTGAACGTTTTACATGACGGACTTGTTTTCAGCAAGGTGACTGTGTCTATTGGTGACAGATGGGCCTCTTACTTAGGGGAGGGCTTTCTCTTCAGCCTTCCTTGTTCACAGAGCACCCGGGAGACCTACAGCTGGTGGGAGTTTGGTGGGCCACTGACTGTGCCAGGCTCATCATGAAATCATCGGTGTGGATGGGGCCACACACACCCTCCCGTGTGTACTTGTTTGTCCGAGGCCACACCCGCTGTGGAGTTCAGGGCAGGGCAGGGCTGGGGGCTCTGAGAAGCCTGGGAGGGGGCTTCACAGATCTGCTCTGTGTATCCGCTGAGGACGTATAGGCCTGTGTGCAGCGCCACAGTGCTGAGCAGGTCACCAGTGCTGCCATCTCCAGGGAGACGGGGTCCTTTCCATTTCTACTTTTTAGTGAAATGTGCAGCCCGAGTGAGCCCCTGTGTCTGATACCCTGAGGCCACCATTGGGCCCCTGATGGGGTTACAGACCCCCAGGCTGGGGGACTTCAGCTTAGCCAAGCCCAGCCCAGGAAGAGTCCCTAACTTCAAAGTGGGTGATTGAGGCGCACCCTTCCTGCTTCAGAAATGGGGCCGTGTGGGCTGTGCTCGTTTTCCTGGTGACAGACAGCGCTCCGTGTTTATTCTGTTATGTTTCTTACCTCGTGGGTGTTCCGTGGACTTTTCCACAGATGTAGAGTATGCAGCCCCTGAAGAAGCAATGGGAAAAGAGGGTTTCCTTTTTTCAAAATGGTTTTGGACACAAGGCCTGAAGGTCGAATTCCTTATGCAGAGGAGCTCTAGCTCCACAGAGGGTGTTTTTAGAGGGCTGCAGGCCGGGCCTCTGTGCCTGGGAACAGGAAACACAACCTCCTGAGGACGCACCCGCCCCGGCGGGCCCACAGGCCTCCTCTGACCACCAAGCACCTGAAGACCCCTCAATAATTGCCGTGTCCCTGGCCCCGTGTCTGCATGGTGCAGAGGCACAGGCACAGCCCATGAGCTCCATGAGGTGGCCTGCCCCCAAAGTCGTGCTGGGAAAACCCCAAAGCTACCAGGGTGTGCGGTGGTCTCTTAAAACCAACCCTGCTGAGACCAGCAGGCTGTCAGTCGGGAGGAAGTAGTGGACAGCCTGTGGATGGGCAGGGCGCTTTCTAGGGAACTTCGCTTCCTCCTCTGTGTTTTCCAAACCCTACACACTAGGTAGAGTTATATGTTTGGTTGGCAGTGACATCCAAGGGTGCTGGGGAGTGTGTGCGCGTGCGCTAGGTAGGGCTATATGTTGGTTGGCAGTGACATCTCTTAATGGTGCTTCCCCCGGAGGGTGCTGGGGAGTGTGTGCATGTGCACTAGGTAGGGTTATATGTTGGTTGGTAGTGACATCTCTTAATGGTGCTTCGCCTGGAGGGTGCTGGGGAGTGTGTGTGCTGTAATGTGACTAGAGCGCATTGTGTTGTCTTTTCGTCTTTTTCTTAAATGATGTAGGTTGTTCCAGGTTGTTGGGAAAATAGACGACACACTTGCCCTGCTCAACCTGGTGAGTGTGTTCCTGTTTTCTGGGGAGTTAGTTTGTCATCTGACCCTCACAGCTGCCTCTCTCGTGGCCTGCAGGGCTCCTCGGAGCTGGAATCTGTCCACTCCTGGGAGCTCCTTGAGTGACCTTTCCCTCCCCATGGGCCGCCAGCCTGTATCTCCTCCCAGACAAGGCCAGGGTGTGGAGGGCCGGGGGGGTGCTGGGCTGGGCACAGGTGTGGGGGACAGAGAAGCCAGGTGCCCCCATCTGTCCCTGTAGGGTCTGGGTGCTGGATGCACTTGCTGGCCCACCCTTCTGTCCTAGGGAGGGCCCGGCCCTGCGCCTTCCCAGGTGGGCTCTGTCCCTTCCTCTGCCCTCCTCCCCAGGCTGCTTCATGGCCGTGATGCCCTCCTTCCCCCCAGGCCTGCATGATGACCATCACCTTCCTGCCTTATACGGTGAGCAACGCCAGGCCCCTGACACCCTGAGGCTTTGCTGGGCACCACTGGATTTGGCCTGTCCTCCGAAACAGACCAGCTGGACAGTCCAGGGCCCAGGCCACACGGTTGCAGAGAACAGAAGGTTCTGGGGCTGCATGGGGCTCCAGGCTGGGTGGGGAGGGGAGGCACTGACCCCGGTGAGGGAGTCACTGGCGCTCCCAGCTCCCACCGGCCCCAATCCTGCAGCCTTCTGCCCATCCCAGGCCTGATCCTGGCAGGCGGCTCCTGCAGCCTCCAGCCACCTGCCCTGCCCTGCTCAGGCTGTGCAGGTGCCGCCAAGTTCTGGCAGTGGCTGCTGGTCTGAATGTGCAAGGCCGTGTACCACCAGGAACTGGGGTCTAGGGGATTTCATATGAATTTGGTGACATTCTGGCTTGAAAGGCCTGAGACGTTTGATGGAGTTGGTTGGGGTGAGGGCAGTTTGGACACATGTTCCAGCATCCAGCTGCCCCATCCTTGGTGGCCCCGCCCATCTCCCAGTGTCCTGTGGGGTGAGGAGGCTCTCACCATGGCCCAGTTCCAAGCTCCAGAGCCCAGGAGCCTGGTAACCTAGGATTAGGATTTGGATTTGAGGGGTTGTTTTTGTTTTTAACAGTTTTCCTTAATGGTGACATTCCCTGATGTGCCCCTGGGCATCTTTGTGTTCTGTGTGTGTGTGATCGCCATCGGGATCGTGCAGGTAGGGGTCTGGGGATCTGCACCGTGTGTGTGTGTGTGTGTGTGTGTGTGTGTGTGTGTGTGTGTGTGATCGCCATCGGGGTCATGCAGGTGGGGGTTGGGGGCCTGCATCTCGTGTGTGTGTGTGTGTGTGTGTGTGTGTGTGTGTGTGAGATCGTCGGGTCACACAGGTAGGGTGCCCTGTGTGTGTGTGTGTGTGATCGTCAGGTCACACAGGTAGGGTGCCCAGGGCCACCTACACACATAGGATGTGGCATGCCCAGAGCCCCCCTGCTTTCTGACCTGAGACTCCCCCCCACAGTGGCCCCAGGAGCCAGCATGGGCTCCTGTTTTTTTTCCACCTCAGCCCCCCTGCCCAAAGTGTCCTGGGGTACAAGCCCACCTCTACCCACCAGATCCCCTTCCCCAAGACCCCCGCCTGTGTGCAGGCCGTATAGCCTGGGGCTTGACTGGTGTGGGGGCCCCCCTGCTCTTGGGGCTGGCGTCCTGCAGCTTGCCTTTCCCACAGGCACTGATTGTGGGGTACGCATTCCACTTCCCGCACCTGCTGAGCCCACAGATCCAGCACTCTGCCCATAGGACCCTGTACCGAAGACACATCCTGGGCATCGTCCTCCGAGGCCCAGCCCTCTGCCTCGTGGCAGCCATCTTCTCCCTCTTCTTTGTCCCCTTGGTGAGTGCTGGGACAGCCCCCAGGGCCCAGGCGAGGACGGGGCCACCATGGGAGCGATGTCCCCCCTGAGTGACAGACATGGGGGCGGGGGGCAGAGCACAGGCAGGCAGGGGTCCCACCAAGGGTCTCGTGTGTGAGGCCCAGGGCTGCAGTGAGTGGCGCCAGGGAGGGAGGCCTGCTTCTGAAGCCTCGGGACCCAGCCTGTCAAGGACAGAGACGGACATTCATGGAAGGAAGGGGCAGCTGAGTGTCCTTCTCAGCGAAGCTTCAAAACGACAACGAGAAGCAAAGACACCGGGAGTCCAGGCATGCTCACGTTCTCTTGTTTCATTTTTTATTTATTGAGGCAAGATCCTGCTCTGTCACCTAGGCTGGAGGGCAGTGGTGCAGTCTTGGCTCACTGCAGCCTCGACCTCCAGGGCACAAGCGATTCTCTCACCCCAGCCTCCCGAGTCTCAGGGACTACAGGTGTGCACCACCACACCTGGATACTTTTTGTATTTTTTGGGGGGAGACAGCGTCTTGCTGTGTTGCTCAGGTTAGCCTGGAATGCCTGGACTGCAGTGATCCTCCCACCTCAGCCCCGAAATGCTGGGATCACAGGTGTGAGCGAGCATGCCGGCCTTTACTTGCTTTTGGATAAGGAATCTATAAAACTGTAAACATCAAACAGATGTTTGGAGGAGGAGCCCCTGGGGAAAAGCCCAGCATCTGCTCATGGCAACGTCAGCTGTTGGTGCTTGGAGAATGCGAGCCACCGGGGAGAGGGAAAAGGCAACAAAGGAAAGTTCTAGAACCCACAGTGGAGCCTGGGAAAGTAGAGAAAGCAGAGCTGAGGACCCAGCTGTTGGCGGCAGGAGCTGAGTCTGCCAGGGGCCACCACATGCATCTGGCAGCAGTGCCAGGGGCAGGGAGGGGGTGGCAGCACAGGGCATCCTCGCAGCCCTCGCTCAGGCGGAAGACAACTGGAAGCCTCTCAGCCCAGCCGGAAGACTGAGGGCTGCTCACTTGTGGTTCTTAAGCCAACAGCTGATTTAATTGGATAAGACCATCACTCTAGACGTCATTCTAGGAATGCCGCCATCACCCAGAAACAGAGCAACAAACCCTAAAAACCAGCTGTTTCAGAGTTCAAGTCGCAGCTTTATTTGTGGCAGCTGGACCTGCTGGAGCACCTTTGACATAAATTGAATTTTTAAACCCAGAGGACCATAAGAATTGTGGAAATCTGGGCTGGGTGCGATGGCTCACGCCTGTAATCCCAGCACTTTGGGAGGCCGAGGTGACAGATCACAAGGTCAATAGATGGAGACCATCCTGGCCAACATGGTGACACCCTGCCTCTACTAAAAATACAAAAATTAGCTGGGTGTGGTGGTGCGCGCCTGTAATCCCAGCTACTGTGGAAGCTGAGGCAGGAGAATTGCTTGAACCCGGGAGGTGGAGGTTGCGGTGAGCTGAGATTGGGCCACTGCACTCCAGCCCTGGCAACAAGATCAAGACTTTGTCTCAAACAAAAAAAAAAGAATTGTGGAAAAATGAATGGTTGTTATTGTAAATGTTTAGTAAACATTTCAGAAGAATCCCAAGTTTAAAATAGACGGCAGCCAGGTGGCAGTGGTGCACCTATAGTCCCAGCTACTTTGGAGGCTGGCGCTGGAGGATCGTGGGAGCCGGGGAGATCGTAGCTATGCCGGTTGGATTTCTGCACTGTTTGGCATCAATGTGGTGACCTTCCAGGAGCAGAGAGCCACCAGGTTGCGTAAGGAGTGGGGGCCAGCCCAGGTCGGAAGTGGGGAAGGTCAGAACCGTGCCCGTCGGTAGAGGGATCGTGCCTGTGAATAGCACCACACCCCAGCCTAGGCAACATAGCAAGACCCAGTCTCTAAAGAAACAGACATGTCCGGTGAGCGCCTGGTGCTGCTGCCTCACTCACTAGAGGCCTGGGCAGGCTGTCTCCTCCACCAAGAGGGGCTGGAGCTGGGGGGCTGAGCAGGACTGGCTCCAGAGCGTCGGAGGCCCCCAGGCCAGGCATAGCCGAGCCCCGCGTGAGCCCAGGCCAGAGCAGTGGGGTGACCTGTGGGCCCCAGAGCCATGGCTGCTGTGTTGCTGGGCTCTTAGACCAGATGCATTTGATGCCCGTGAAACAAGAGGGAGTAGACACCAGGGAGATGTGGGGGTGGGGCAGGCCAGAGGCCAGGGACTTTCTCCAGAAGGGTGGGCCACCCACTGGCACTGGCAGGAGGGGCAGGTGTCCTCAACTGCAGCCTCTGTGAGGTCAGAGCAGAGCAGGGGCTCTGGGCAGAGGGCAGGTGGGCTGAGTCCTGAGCAGAGGCAGGCAGGTGGGTGGGTGGCCAGCACAGTGGACAGGGATAAGGGGGAGCAGTCTGAGGCAGTCCTGGTGTCAGAGATGGGACAGCCCCTTCTGGTCGTGACTGAGTGACGGAGCAGGCTGATGAGGTCAGCACCTAGTCCCTGGGAGCCAGATACACTTTCTGTGTCCATAAACTTGTGTGTTCTGGATTCTACATATGCAGAGACTCATATAGTATGTGGCCTTTTCGTATCTGGCCTCTTAACATTGTCAAGATTCACACATGTTGTTGCCATGTCAAAACCGTGTTTCTTCTTTATGGCCGAGTCCATTGTGAGTCTTGTGCCACGTCACGTGGGCGCATTCAGCCATAGATGGAGATCTGGGAATCTGCGTCTTTCAGCTGTCATGAGTGAAGCCTCTGTGAGCATTGCTGGATACATGTGGCTGTCGTGAGTGAAGCCGCTGTGAGCATTCCTGGATACGTGTAGCTGTCGTGAGCGAAGCCGCTGTGAACATTGCTGGACACGTGTGGCTGTCGTGAGTGAAGCCATTGTGAGCATTCCTGGACACGTGTAGCTGTCGTGAGTGATGTGCTGTGAGCATTCCTGGACACGTGTGGCCGTCGAGTGATTCCACTGTTTCTTCAGATCTGTCTTCTCAGGTCTTTTGTGTGTGTGCCCAGCTGTGAGTTGCTGGGTCATATGGTGATTCTGTGTTGAATTTTTTTTGGTTTAATCTGTTGAGGAACCACCAAACTTCCACAGCAGCTGCACCATTTTATGTTCCCACCAGCAGCACACAGCAGTTCATTTCTCCACATCCTCACTGACACCTGCTGTTTTTCATTTGTCTGCATCTTAGTGGGTGTGAAGGAATCTTGGTGTGGTTTTTGATGTGCGTTTTAATCATGGCGGAGGGGGTCGAATCTCATTGTGGTTTGATGTGCGTTTTAATCATGGCGGAGGGGGTCGAATCTCATTGTGGTTTGATGTGCGTTTTAATCATGGCGGAGGGGGTTGAGCATCTTCTCATGAATATGTTGACCATTTGCACATTTCGTTTGGAAAAATGTCTGTTGTCATCCTTTGCCCATTTTTAATTGGGTTGTCTTTATTGGTGAGTTGTCAGAACTGCAAGCAGGCAGCCTTTAAGACACGGTCTTGCCCTTTCACCAGGCTGGAGTACAGCGAGCTGGATCACTGCTTACTGCAACTCCTGCCTCCCAGGTTCAACAGGCACACTTAGTCGCGCCTGGATAATTTTTATTTTTGGAGAGATGCAGTTTACTTTGTTGCCCAGGCTGGTCTCAGACTCTTGGGCCCAAGCAACCCACCTGCTCAGCCTTCCAAAGTACTGGGGTTACAGGCATGAGCCACTGTGCTGGGCTTCAGAATTCGTGACACTTTTTGGCTGCTTGGCCCTGTCAGATACATGATCTACAGAACCCTCCCTCCTGCCGCTGCCAGTTCTTTGGCACACACAAACAGCTGTGTCTGGATAAAGCCTGGCCTCGGCCCCATGTGGACGGCGCTAACCAGTGGTGTGTCTCCCTGCAGTCTTACCTGCTGATGGCAACCGTCATCCTCCTCCCCTACGTCAGCAAGGCCGCCAGCTGGTGCCGAGACAGGCTCCTGGGTAGGTGATGACTGGCTGGCCCGAGGCCAACGGCCTCCCGCCTCTCCGTGGCCGCTCCACACTGAGGGTCGTGCATGGGCCAATGCCTCCGTGCGTGGTAGTGGCCGGGGCTCCCCTGCTCTGTCCTTCGGGGTGTCGCTGTGCTGTCTCCTCTCCTGGCCTGCACGTTCCAGGTCTCTTCTGGGATGGGGCAGTGACAGCCACACGGGCTGTGGCTCCGTGTGGTGGGGCTTGGCCAGCTCCACCCTCCTGGCTTGTCCACAGGCCACAGGGAGCCCTCGGCTCACCCAGTGGAAGTCTTCACATTTGACCTTCATGAGCCGCTCAGCAAGGAGCGGGTGGAAGCCTTCAGTGACGGCGTCTACGCCATCGTGGCCACCCTTCTCATCCTGGATATCTGGTGAGGACCCCATGCCACCTGCCCCAGCTATATGGGGTGCCCAGTGTGTCCTGGGAACCCCAGAAAGGTTCAGGGGTCTCGGCTCCACCTCCCCTGGATGCCTAAAGTTTTATGTGAGGTCAGGGCAGCCCCCACGTCAGGGAAGACAGCCCTCCCTTCCCGGCAGCCCTCCCTTCCCAACAGTCCCCCTCCCTTCCCAGCGGCCCCCGCCCCAAGTGCAGGCTGGGAATGGGGTGCCAAGGCGAAGTCAGCACCAGCTGCCAACTGTTCTTTTCATTCTTCCCAGAAGGGCTCAGCAGCCGTGGGTATCCCCCTACCCCAGGCCTCACCCCTGCCCCAGCACCAGTTGCTCCCAGCAGCCCCTCCATCGTCTCCCAGTCCCCCATCACCTCCCAGCCCTGCAGGCCTGTCCGACTCCCCACGGCCCCTCCCACTTCCCAGGCCCCTCCCACTCCCCACGGCCCCTCCCACTCCCCACGGCCTGCTGTTGCTTCCACTTCTTTCCAGCATCTGCTCCTCCACTGCCTCATCTGTTAAAGTGCTCATCTTGGTTGTCATATTTTGGTTTTTGGGTTTTGGTGTTTTTTTTAGACAATCTGGCTCTGTCATCCAGGCTGGAGTGCAGTGGCTCGATCTCTCCACGTCCCAGGCTCAAGCGGTTCTCCTGCCTCAGCCTCCTGACTAGCTGGGACTAATGCGCCCACCACCACCCTCGGCTAATTTTTTGTATTTTTAGTGGACACGGGGTTTTACCACGTTTTCGAGGCTGGTCTCAAACTCCTGACCTCAGGTGATCTGCCCACCTTGGCCTCCCAAAGGGCTGGGATTACAGGCATGAGCCATCATGCCTGG